ATGTCACCAATAAAGGCGAGGGACAAGTCGGCATGCCCGGCTTTAAGAAGCATTCACATTCATGGTCTAGGGTTTGGAAGCTTTGGAAAATTGTGACTTTGATCAACCCTTTTCTAAACTTGAAAAAACTATACACCCTATATTCAACACCTAAGAAAATTTAAGTACTTGTTCATTTTATTTGGTGTAGTCATAATGGATTTATACGATGTCTTTGCCAATTGAGTCAATGTTCAATAACAAAACACGTTAATTGGGTAGTTTGACGATTTAATTGAAAATGTGTTCAATTTTCTTTTTCTACACATCTTTCCTCATGTGAAAGATAAGACTCTTTTTCTTTCTTCTCCTACTTTTTAACACATCTTTCCTCATGTGAAAGATAAGACTCTTTTTCTTTCTTCTCCTACTTTTTAAATTTCTTATTTCTTTTTACGCAAACTCAAATTTTGGATCGCCACGGGCAGAGCCGGTCCATTGATTTTGGAGGCCCTATGCAAATATGGATGTCGAGGCCCTACATATACAAGTAGGAGAAAAAAATCCATATAGAAACAAAATTTTCCGACACGGGAAGAACACCTTTGGAAAGAGCTTTCTAGAAAAATTTCTTTAGTCTCTCTTCCAAATAACATAGCTGATAAATTGATTTTCCAATTTCAATGCTCGGTGAATTCTCATGTGAATGAGGGAGGGAGAAAAGAATTGTGATTTTGGGGAAAGGGCTAAAGCTTGGGTTTTTACAATCCAAAATTTGATGAAAGAGGGTGGTACACTAGTACTGAAGAGAAAATGATTTATTTTGATGGAGGAGAGTGAGAGAGACTTACCGAAAGAGAAAAGAATATTATAATGAGAAGAGGAAAACGAATTAAATTAGGGTCTCTACTCTCTAAGTCGTGGAAGTTGTTGATAATTAATATTCAATTCAATTTTGGTTTTGGTTTTGGGGCCATGCATGTGGCGTTGTGGAGTGATATTTAATATTTCATTTTTATTTTCATGTTTTAATTAATTGAATGCGTTGACTCGGAAAAATTTGGGGCCCTTAAATTTTGGGGGCCCTGTGCGGTCACATAGCTCGCACACCCCATGGGCCGCCTCTGGCCACGGGTGGGTTTCAAGCATAGGATAGTTTAAATTTTTTTTGTTATTTTCTTTTTAATTGTTTTTAGCATACCTAAGGTGAAAATAAGCATGAAAAATTGGACAGGGTTTTGTCACGTAATCATTTAACAGACAAACTAACAAACTCACTAACATTTATCAATTTAAAATGCAGCCCAAAATTTAGGGGTTTTGTGAAGTTGACTCAAAAAGTTACAATTTTTTTGTTTCTAACTGAGAAAAATTCTGCACTAATATCCAGATAAATAAAAGATGATATTACAATGAACCACAAACTAAGAGAGTTAGAAGAGACATAATCTGTATATTTCTTTCTTTTTTTCTTTGGTATGAATTTGTATCTACGATGAGATTGACGAGGAACCAACCTCAAAACATAACAATTAGAAATTACAGAAACTATAAAGGAAGAAACACATAAGAAAAACTATCTGAAACCCATCCTCAGAGACTTGGAGTTGGAGCTGTTGACTTTACTAGAATTTGTATTATCCTCCTGGGTTGATTTTCTTTTCCTAGAATTTGATGCAGAGCCAGAGACAGAGGAAGAAGAGGAAGAGAAGGGAAGAGTTGCGCTTGGTAGATGACCCGAAAGGCCGGAATTTGATTGATTGCCGTAAATGTAGAGATTGGTTATATCAGCAAGAGGCTTCCTCCTTAATCTCGTCTTCTTATTACATTTCTTTGAGGAAGACCCATTTTCAGGAACTGGGTTCGTCAGATTTGCCATGGCAGAGGAAGGACAAGGAGGGAGGTTCTCTTTGTTGCTGTGGTCGCGGCAAGAAATGGCCTCCATTGATAAGAACTTCGAGACACAGAAAATTCCTGAGAATTGAGAAAGTTGGTGTTATTGTGTGAGAGATGGAGGAGATGGGTTTGGGGCAAGAGAGGAGGGAGTGAGGTATTTGTAATGTTTGGGCGATGATGGGTTCTAATTCTGTTTTGGAGGGAGTTTTGAAATTTATTTATTTATGTTATTTTTCATGTTCGTTTTTCTTCACGTGAAAATATTCGGTGAAATTTGAATTTTTCATAATTTTTTTTGGGTGAAAATTGAGTTTCGTTAAAAATTTCATGGCAGCTTTGCCCTTTAATTGGGGAATTTTCAAAATTTTGAGATGACATCTGGCAAGTGCCAGCGAAAGTTTGAGAATGAGAGAGGGTTGAAACAAAGTTGGCGGGTCTTCAGTCGGAGGAGAGTGCGAGCCAAAAATGGCAAAAGCACGAAAAGGGAGAACTTTAGGCGGGGAGTGGAAGGAGCCAAATCCCAAAACGGGATGTCAACGAATTCTAGTTTTAATTATGTTTTTCTAATTGACGCCATATCAGTAAATACGATATGATCATGCTCTCATGTGAAAAAAAATAAAAAAAACATGTTCTGTAGGAAAAAAGCCACATTAGCATTTTAATAGAATTTTTAGTGAAACTTGACTGCAAGGATCAACTTAATGTATAGGAAGTAACGTTAAGGATTATCATATAATAAAAAATCATAAATAACCAAATGTGATAATTTTGTGAATCTCAACTACCATTTGTGAAAAAAATCATTATTTATCAAAGATTGTAATCTAAAAAACTCAAATTCCGAGACTATTTTTTTACCTTTTTTTATGTAGTTGTGTGTTTTTGTTTATGTAAGATGACATTATTAATTTACCTTTAAAATTAACATAAATTTGATGGAATTGACAAAAAATATGGTTATAAATCAAAATGAAACTCGAGTACAATTTGAGGGACCTTTACCCTAATTAAATTCTTAAAGTAAAAGGGTTGATTAAATATTTTTCTATAACTAGACTAGAGGTGGGCTTTTCAATTGCAACTACGTTTAAGAATTTAGTTAAAGTATCATATAACATCAAAGTCATCAACTAAATAACATAATTACCACCCAGTGGCAGATGACAAACTCATTCATCTAAGCAATGTTGGTTTGGATAATGAAGTTCATATATGATTTTCCTATTATATTCACTTTGTTTTTTTTTTTTATCTTCTTGCTCATTCCCATTTCTTAATAACAATGATGAGCACATATATTGTTTATATGGATAATTCTCTCATGCCAAAAGTTTTTACAAGTTCTCATAATTGGTACTCAGCCATCATTCTTCACTTGAGTTCATAACATTCATCTCATTAACGCATTATTAGGGTGGGCATTGTTCGGTTCGGTCCGGTTGATCTCTTGAATTGGAATCGAAACCAAAACAAACAAAGTTTGATTTGATTTGGTTTTCATACAAAGTGTCTAGAGGAACATAAACAAACTAGATCTATACGATTATGGCTTGGTTTGGCCGATTTTGGGTGTGGAAGAAGAGAAAAAGAGGAAGAGGTGAACAAGAGAGAAATGAAAAGAAGAGAGAAATAGGTGAAGAGATAAAAGAGGAAGAGACAGAGAGAGAGAGAGAAATAAATAAATAAATAGGTGAAAAAGAGAGAAAGATGGAGGCGCAACAAGAAGAACGTATATGGTTCACTGAAAAGAGAAAGAAATAGGTCTAGAGTTGTTATTTAGTTGGGTATAAATTGGGATTAAGACATTTAGGTATTACTTGGGTTAAGATATATTTTTTTTTTTGTCTAAACCATGAGGTGGTCCTGGATGGCCCCCAACTATGGGTGGCCCCTTTAAGCCTTAACCACAACCCAGACTAATCCCCACTCACATCGGGTCGGCCCGTAAGGGGTAAAGTGTTGGCCAAAGTGGTGACTCCGTACGAGAGCAAGGATCGAACCCTTGACCTCTCTTAAGGAATGAGAGTGCCGAACCACTCACACCAACCACCTTGGTTGGTTAAGATATATTTAGATATTACTTGAGGTTACTAATGTTTAAAAAAAAAAAAAAAAAATTAGGCTTACTAATAAATTTGGATATAAATTAATAAGTAAACTTAACAAGGCAAGAATCAGAACAGGAACCGATCCAAAATGATTCAACTCGGTTTTTAAGCCTAGGTTGACTTTTTTGGTCATCACAGTTTATTTTTAATTTTTTTAAAATCCAATTCGGCTCACTTCACCGATTGACTGGTTTAAATGCTCACCCCTACTCATTTTGAACCACCACCATCTCATTTATACAGTTACGAAAATTCTATTTGTGGCTTGAGTGCAATTTTGTCACCATATCAACCAGATGCCTTAAAGAAACACCATTACTTCTGCAACTACCTGTACACCTAAGTTCTTTTGAGTGCAATATTGGAATCATTGACTCTAGCTTTCAAGTGGAAGGGATCATTCGTTGAAGGACAAGAGTTCAATTCCTCCCTTAACTTCAAACTTATTGGGGCCAAATACTTCAACAAACAAAGGTCTAATAGCTTTAAAAAAAATCATGAAAATAGATATGAATCCTGCTAAGGACACTTTAGGTAATGGGACCTTTATTTCCAGAGTTTCTGCATGGGTAAAAAGAGGTACTGATCCAATCAGTTCCATTTCCAAATCAAAAGTTCGAGTGGGCTATAATAATCATATCAATTTATTACTATTTGAAAGAGATATCTTGTAGTTGTATCATAATCAAGTCAAATGATGGATTGGAGGTTCTTAAATCTATGGACTCTAGTGACGAACCCAATACAACATGCTCCATGGGTTTTAACTTAGCAAAATGCGTGCCATTATTGGATCTGAAGAATAAAAACTCCAACAAAATTAGCCATCATATATATTTTTTTTTGGTAACAAAGAGGGCTAAGCCCAAACAACAACTAAACATAAATCAACCTAGACCTTAAAAGGCCATCCCTGTCTTCTTGGAGGACACCAGTAATACCACCAGGAGGCAAAACAAAGCAATGAATACCCAATTCCATCTCATGCCCCATCTTAGCCAGAGAATCAGCAGCAAAGTTAACCTCCCTGAAAACATGAAAGATGCTGCAGTCCCAGGAACTCTTCCAATAGACTCTGCACATGTTTAGCAAAGTAAGGAGGGGGTGATATGGCTCCACCTTAGCATTCAAAAGGTGCAAAACAAGAGTAGAATCAGTTTCAACAATAAGCTTTGTCACTTGCAAACATTGAGCTAGCTTAAGACCATGATACAACGCCCACAGTTCAGCCACCAAAATCTCCCCAAGACCCAAATTAGCAGAAAAACCTGCTACCCACTCACCAACAGAATTGCGAATAAGGCCCCCAGCAGCAATAGCGCCACTAGAACCAATTCTAGACCCATCAATATTCAGTTTCATGGTAGAAACAGGGGGAGGCTTCCACGCCAGCAAAGTTTGCATCATGAGCCTATGGACCCCACCCTTTTTATTAGCAAAGTCCCATTCCACAAGAAACCTCAAAATCCATTCATTGGGTGGATCAGGATAGTGGAAGGAAGAGTCAAAGACAGTGTAGCATCTCCATTTCCATATGAACCAGCAACCAGTCGCAAAAATATTACACCATCTCAAGTTGAAAGAATTAACAACAGCAGTTTTTAGGTTTAAACGCAACCAACAATTAAAGTCAGTAGCAAAGGATACCTTAACACAATCAGGTAAGGAGAAGGAGTTCCATATTGCTTGAGCTCGAGGACAACGGATGAACACATGCTGAAGCGATTCCATATGGCAATGACAAAACGGACAAGCTGAATTATTTGTCATTTTTCTTCTTGTTCTCTGTACATTGGTCAGAATTTTATTTTGGGATAATAGCCACAGAAACACTTTTAGTTTGGGAGGAATCTTAAGCTTCCAAATAAAATACCAGCTATCATCATCCCTTTGAGACAAGCTAGAGCAAATATTATAAGCAGATTTAACCGTGAACTCCCCATTGGGACTAGGACCCCAAACAAGTGTGTCAGGAGAAGAACCATCAAAGTCAGCAGGAGTGCTAATAATTTTCTGGACCACATCAACATGTAACACTTCAAGGAGTTTGGGAATATTCCAACCAGATTGGGTAAAATAATTGGCAACCACTTCATGGACATCAATCTCCTCAATATTGAGAGGCGTAGATTCAATTAGGATGCCATCCAAAACCCAAGGATCTGTCCAAAAATTAATTCTATTCCCATTTCCCACTCTCCACTTCCTGCCCGCACTTAGGATTTCAGCACCAAATAGAATGCCCTTCCAGGTGCTGGATGCACAAATAGAGTTCACATTATAGTTATCAAAGGACGTAGTCCCCTTTAAATATTTCTTTCTCATCATGTTAGCCCAAAGCCCATCATGGTTATTGGTAATTCTCCAGCTAGCCTTGGCAAGCAACGCTTGGTTCATCGAGGTAGACCTTTTAATCCCAAGCCCTCCAAGCCTTTTTGGCTTACACACAATATTCCAGTTCACCAGATGCACCTTACGAGCAGTCACAGTACTACCCCAGAGGAAGTTCCTATTAGCCTTGTCTAGGTCTGCACAAACAGAAGCAGGAAGCCTAACAGTTTGCATCGTGTAATAAGGGATGGTAGAAGTGACTGACTGAATTAGTGTGAGTTTACCAGCCAATGAGAGGAGATTACTCTTCCATGAGGAAAGCCGAGATTGGACCTTATCAACAACTTCCTTATAAGTATTTCTAGAAATTCTACCTTGAATAAGTGGAACTCCAAGATTCTTACCCAGGTCGGGGGAGAGATGAGAGCCACAAATTTTAGCAATTTCAGTAGCCCCCTCTCGCTTAGTGTTTTTAGAGACAAAAAGCATCGATTTCTCAAAGTTAACCTGTTGACCAGAAGCACAACAGAAGGCATCCAAACACTCTTTCATAATCTGGGCTTGTCGCATAGACACCTCACCAAAGAGGATGAGGTCATCAGCAAAAAACAAATGTGAAATGAGAGGTCCAGATTTCGCAGCCCTCACAAGCCTCCAATCTTTACTAAAAACTCTAGAGGAGATAATATGGCTAAGTTTTTCCATGCATAGAACAAATAGGTAAGGAGAAAGGGGGTCACCTTGTCTCAGCCCACGCTTTGGATAAAAGGTCTCAGTCATCTCACCATTCATAATAACTTTGTACTCCACAGAAGTCACACAACTCATGATTAGTTGCAAGGAATGCCCACCAACTCCAATTTCTTGAAGAGTTTTCTCAATGAAATCCCAACTAAGTCTATCATACGCTTTAGATAGATCAATTTTCCAAGCAATAAAACCTTTTTTCCCTTTAGCTCTTCGGAACCGATGCAGAACTTCTTGGACAATGAAGATGTTCTCAGAAATTTGCCTCCCAGGCACAAAGCTCACTTGGTTTGGGCTAATAAGATGACAAAGAAGGGGCCTCAATTTGCTGACAATAATCTTTGAGACAACCTTATAAAGAGAATTGCAAAGACTAATAGGCCGAAACTGCATCATGGTTTGAGGACATGGAACTTTAGGTATCAAAGTTATCAATGTAGAATTCAGCCCCTCAGGAATAGACCCAGTACGAAAGCACCTTATCACCAATTGTGTGACATCTTCTTTCACAGTATTCCAGCAATTGTGGAAAAATATAGCTGGAAAGCCATCAGGCCCGGGGGATTTAAGGGGTCCAATATTGAACATCGCTTCTTTAACATCTTCAGGAGAGACATCAGTGCAGGCCTCAATAATTAAGTTGTGGTCAATTTGGGGAAACAATTTAGGAAGAGAGCCCGAGAACTCATGCAATTCCTTATTGTCAAATAAAGCTTGGAAATAGTCCACAGCTAGCTTCCTTAAACCATTTGTTTCCGTCACCCAATTTCCAGTATCATCTTTAAGCCTTTCCACTCTATTTCTCCTTCTTCTCACCAGAGTAGTGAGATGAAAAAATTTAGTATTTCTGTCACCATTTTGGAGCCAAGAGATTCTGGATTTTTGTCTCCACAGAATATCCTCTTGATCAAGTATTGCATCATATTCCATTTGAAGATCTTTCTCTAAAACAATGAGAGAATGGCAATAATGCCTACACAAAGCAGATTCAATACCTCGCAGTCTAGCCGATATAATCCTTTTCCTGTGAGTGAGGTGACCAAAAACATCCTTATTCCATTGTAGCAACACTGGGGAAAGTATATTAAGCTTATCATGAGCCTCACCAGCAGCATTGGCCCATTCGTGTTGGATGAATGTATCAAACTGGTTATGCTTGAGCCACATAGCTTCAAAGCGAAAGGGTTTGAGGTTAGGGGAAGGGATTTTATCAGAGGATAAGGAGATGAGCAGGGGGTTATGATCTGAGTTCCTCCTTACAAGATGTCTAACGAATGCTTCAGGATAAATAATTCTCCACTCCTTGTTACAAATAGCCCTATCTAGTCTTTTCATTACAAACTTACCAGCCTCACGTTTATTAACCTAAGTGAATCTTGGGCCAATAAAACCCAAGTCAATCATGCCTTGATTATCAAACCAATCTTTAAAACCCTTGCTCCTGCCCAAAGTAGTGCCATATTTTTCTTGCGCATAGAGAATGTCATTGAAGTCACCAGCTAGTAGCCAGGGCAGCTTCCACGCACTAGCAATAGTGTCAAGAGCATTCCATAGATTCACCCTTCTAGATGGACAAGGATTTCCATATACTGCAGTGAATAGCCAGGCGGACCCCTCTCTATTTTCAATAAATATAGTCACAGATTGGTCTAGACACTTTATCACCTTGATATTGCATTTATGCTCATCCCATAAAACCCAAATTCCACCAGAAAATCCTACAGCATCAGAAACTTCAGCATTGGAGAATCCCAGTTGAGAGATTACCTTTCGAGCTCTATCAGAACTAATTCGTGGTTCACAAATCACCATAATATCCAGCTTATTGCCTTTTTTAAAATCTTGCATATCCAGCAGTGATTTCCTGCTACCTGCCCCTCGAACATTCCAACATCCAATAAGCATTACACTTAACGTCAGAGGAAGTAGTCTTTGTAACCAGAAGGATGGAAGAGAGGTATTCTCAATTTTTAGCAGAGATCGGGGATGGGAATCAGATCTGGGCATGTGGATAGGGGGAGAGAGAGAGAGACATTCCACTTAACGTCAGAGGAAGTAGTCTTTGAAACCAGAAGGATGGAAGAGAGGTATTCTCAATTTTTAGCAGAGATCGGGGATGGGAATCAGATCTGGGCATGTGGTTAGGGGAGAGAGAGAGAGAGAGAGAGAGAGAGAGAGAGAGAGGTGGTTGTGGGAGGGTGGGCTGCTGAGGGTGGAGGCGATAGAAGGGAAAGAAGGTGATATTGGGTGGTTAGATCTAATTTCAGGATTCCTAAAATTGGGATCTTTCAAATATGCAAAGGTTGAAAAGGCTAAAATAAGTTACGAAAACAAAGAGTAAACAAACCTGCTAAGACAGAGCTTAGGGAGATCACCAGATCCGGTGAGGGAGCTCTCACAGAGGAGAGGGAGACGAATATAACTAGCCAATGGAATTTAGAAGAACAGTAGCCTCTGCATGAACGGCAATTCTACTTTTGAAGTTGTGGTGGAAATACTTTGTGAGGAAAAAAGAGCAAACCACTAGAGCCCATTCTCCCCAGGGCCACAAGCTACACCACCACCACTGTTTCCAAATACCACCACCAGCGGCACCACCCGGCAATAGCTCCGGCATGGCACCTAGACAAGCATAAAAAATAAACTTTGCCAGCTTGATATTTTCACTCAAAAGATGAGATAATATACTTTGCCAGCTTGATATTTTCATTTGAGAACCTTAGTACAAACCAATTGACAAAAATTCATTTCCCAATAACCAAAAGAAAAAGAAAAACCCTAAACCCTATTGTCAGCCGCGCAAATCTCACGGCCTGGAGTTCCGGGCCGAGTGGATGTGCGTTGACACGCAGTTTCCTGCTTTTGGGTGCGGTGCAGTTGTGCGCGGGCGTGCCAGCACGGTCTACCGTGCGTCGAGATGTTGATGAGTGTAGGATGGATCAGTGGTGCGCCTATTTGAACTCGTCTTCTAATCAAACGATTGTAGCCGAGAGAGGAACTAGTCTCGGCTGTTAGGTTCACGGCCTGAACTACAAGGCCGTTGAGTGATGGTGTTGGTGGTGGGTTTTGGGCGGTGCTCCAGCGCGTCGCTCAGGGAGCGACGGTCGTACAGGGAGCGACGGTCGTATGATATATGGGGTGAGGGAACGAACAACAGAGATGGTGCTCCGGCGCCTTGAAAATCAAGGGTCGTATGATATATTGATGAATGAATTTTCCTTACAGTCTAACACTACTCCTAGGAAAGCAAGTAAAGATATCGAAAGTGCATTACAGGAAAAAATAAGTTGCTCCGTGGGAGGTTTTGGTTTGGTGTTTGAACCCGTTGAATGTAGCTCGAGCCTTGTATTTATAGGGAGAGTTCCTGGATGAGTAATCGAGGCTGAATTTACGCATAGTGGAGTCTGATTAGCGCAAGTGGGTGTCCAGTCGACATTTGGGATCGTGAAGCATGGTGGTGTGACCCCATAAATCCTGGTGAATCTCGGCCGCCGCCCTAATCGTGGTTTCTGCGCAGCTGGCCGTGGAGACGCATTTATTGCTCTGATCGCTGGTGACCTAATCTCTCAAGCTGCAAGAATTCTTGTGAGAATGTCTACGTCTAATCACTTTGTCTTCTGTCGCCACAACCTGACCTCAGTCACTTCCCACCTTCCCTCATGCATTAAATGCTTATTTGTGGCCAGTGGGTTTGCTGCATTAAACATGCGCTACTTCATTAAATAAAGCATGGATCCCTGCTATCACGTGATGATCTGACTTTAATATTTCTAGCCGCGATTTTGCTTGGCCTCGGCCTCGACCTGCACTCGAGGCCGAGATGATCATGCCTTAGCATTTTTCTTTTGTCTTCAGGAAGGCAAAGCACCTTGTTGAAACGCTGCGTTTTAGTTTTACGAGCAAGTGCTAGGGCCGAGAAAGGGGGCTCCTTCGGCCAGCTCATGGCCGTGATTTATTAGGCACAAACACCTATAGAAAATATCAATCACAATCTGTTATTGGCCTCAGAAACCAAATGTTGTTTTTCTAAAACAAAGAACTTACAGTATAATTGGGATGCTAATCAACATTGGCAACAACCAACACATTTTGAAAGCCATGATTCAAAAAATGAAACAAAAATAGCAATTGAAATCTATCTTGGCATTATGGTCATACAAAGTTTAAGCTAGCCTGGGGGGGAGAATGAAAGTGATTATCAACAAGGACTGATGGGCTTGAAAATCTCCATGTTTAATAGTACATATGTTATAAGACTTAAGGCATACATTTGGTTCAACATGCAATCGAAAAATTAAATTCTGAACAATAAGCTCTCGTCATTATTCACCACTTGCATACAAGCGGGTCCACTCCTTTGCTGCATAATTCAAGGGAAAAAAGAATTACTCCATGTAACAAAAGTATTCTGCAAATACAGGTTAAAGGTATGGAATTTATATTCAACAAATCGAGTAAAGTGACAAAAGGATGAAATAGAGAAAAATTTCGAAGCTCTGTACAAAGTGACAGATTTGATAAGCCTCTGGTGCCGTTAGCCATGAAACTTTTAAAATTACATGGGGCTAATATCCCAATATAAACCAAACTCGAGAAGTGGAGCATAATTCATAATACCTGTCTCAACAGCTTCTGCTTCATTTGTCTTCCAGTGCTTTGCAATGTTCTCAGAAAGTGGATCATCCGGGTTTGGAGCACTCAGAAGTGCTTGGATGCTGATTCAGTGAAACATAATAAAATTGTGTTACTAGTCACTTTATATATCATGACACAGGAACATGAGAATACAGAGATAACATATTTTAATTTATTGTGAGAATTAACTTCTGTGACATCCCATTTCAGAACGGAGCTGAAATGTTGAATTCTGGTAATGAAAAATGTCACCTCAGCAACACTGTTCGGATTTGGAGGGCTGGACTCCATTTGTCCTTCAGGATATCAAGGCATATCCTCCCAAGCTGCCAAAAGAAAACCCTTCCTACTAAGAAACATCAGAGTTGAAACAATGGAAAGGAGTGAACGGAGTGAAAGGAGAAAGCTACTTGCCTTATCAATGTTAGGATGATATATTTTGGTGAGGAAACGAACCTGTCAAGGGGAATAAGACAAGACATTGTTCAGCATTTGACATTACCAAAACACCTATGGTGAGCTGACATAGTGCTAAGAGAGCAATATTTTTATGGAACCAAAACCAGCTTCCGCTTTACAAAATTCCAATTACAATAAAAAAGTCTATAGGCCAAAAGCACGAAACTCAGCAACTGAAGATTAGAAGAGATGCAAACTATGAGTTTCAGTAAAGTTATTAGATAAACTAGAACTTGGACACTCAAGTCTACTTTCTCAGTCCCAAATTTAATAACATTTTGCATGAATCCATCCACAAAGCATATGGGGCTACGTGCACTGGTCAACTTGGCAACTGGAAAAGTTCACCTTAAGAACATAATAGAGAACATATATACTTGCTGACAATAAAGTAACTGTTTTTGGTACAAAAACTGTACAGCCTACAAATTGATGGAAGTGATCTGCCGAAACCAAATTTGATCATGACAAGTATGTTCTTCAATACCATTGGCATCTAACCTATACCATAAAAACCCTTCCATTTTATTTTTATATTTGTTACAAGAACCTGATTTCATAAATATAAATAACATTTCAAAACAGGGGAGAAGTTTTCCATTGGACACACTTGACTACTTAAGTACAACTGCAAAAAAGAGTAAAAACATCCTAACATTACATAAATGAATCTAAAATACAGCAGCACTCCAATCATAAAACAAAGCTTTCATGAAGATCCGACACCAAGAAGAAAAGGCCACACCTGTTTTGCCAATAAATTAATATGTTCATGGAACATGCATCGGCACACGCACGCACACACACGCACACACCTATTATAAATTTTAGATGATGAACTATGAAGCACCTTTTATTAGAATCTAGGGGTAGCAAAGAAAATGTCATGAAGATAAAAATGTTTCAAAATATTATTCAAATTAAAAATATATACATAAATCAATAATACCACATACATAAGAAGTTTAAAAACAAGTGAAACCCCGTGCATTTGTAAGGGTAAAAACACTAAGTGTAAAATGGAAAGGTTGGGGGATGCAACTCAGGGCACAGTTTTTCTTCCCAAAACTAGACAACCATCTGAATTAACAGGGACCCCATGACTTTCAACATTACTAATAATGAACATCTATTAAAACACAAGTATCAACATATGACATTATTTTTCACCCAATTACATATTTACCTTGGGAGGTGCCATTGGATATTCTTCGGGTAAAAACAATTCCAACTTGAAAACCCCACCTAAGTAAATCAACAAATAAAAGAATATGAAAATGGCATACCAACATGAGGTGATGATAAACCTAAGTATCTAAGAAACAAAGCGATACAATTCTTTGTAGAATTGCATAACGATAGATAACTGTTTAATGGCAATGTTTGAATACAGATACAGTAACATGTTAGAGAAGGTTGCCCATCAAGCAATTATAAAATATGATTTCGGAAAATTTGGTGGCATTGGAATGGCCAATGCAATTGTAAAGAGAATGACTAAAGGAACACTAATCCCTGGCTAGTCGATAAGTACAACTTATAAGTATCATCTGTATAACCAATAAAACTTTTGAACCAAGAAGAAATACATTCTTCCTCGTAGAATCCTTTGGTACACACTCAATTATTTGAAAACAAACCTTTAATTTGATTTTAAAGAAAAAACAATTAGAAGAAAAAGGAAGGGAATTGAAGAGGGAAAGACTAGCCATATCATCCTTGTGTCACAGCCACACATTCCCTCCTTATTCCAGAAGAAAATGTAATCCAAAATCTACCGATCGATAGAAACTTTTTATGAATTCTTGAGTTGCAATTAGTCTTGTGACAATCACTTACATTAGTCATGTGATGATCACTCACAAAAGCAGACAAATACTATTTAAAGGTTATCGTATGCTGAAATTTCATGT